GTATTTTCTGAAAAGACTTGTGAATAGATTATATCCTAGACCTGTAACATTTTCCTGATCTCTCTTTAGTGACCCCATCTCTGAGATATGAGAGAAACATTCTTTTCTCATCCTAAGCCTTCAACCTGTATGCCAGGCCACCAAAAGATAGTAATGTTATAAAAACATCTAACATTTATGCCACTTACTCTGTGCCATGCACAAGTGTAATAAATTCATTTAATCCTTACAACAATTTTATGAGATTGATACTATTATTTTCATCTTTTTCGCAGGTGAGAAAACTGAGTTAGAGTTTTAACTGACCAAAAGTTGCACAGCTAGAAATTAGTAGGTCTGCAATCTTACACAGACATCAGTTTATGGGTCTGTGGTTGCGATCACTGTATTGTTGGACTTGCCTCAATAACAGATCAAGGTGTGTTCCTTTAGGCAGAACATCAATGGCCCTTATTTAACCTCCATTCTTTAAAGCTCTACCTTTTAACTGAATTGAATATTCTGTTCAGATTTAATGTCATCAACTAGTTAGATACGCATCTGCCATTTACTTTTTATTTCCTATGTCTCACATCCTTTTTTTCTCCCTTTATTCTGCTGCTACTTTCTTTTTTATTAAGTTAATATATTCTATGTGACATTTTAATTCTTTACTTTTCACTTAAGTTTTTTAAGTTTCCCTATAGCTTGCCATTCACATTTTATTCAAATTTCCTTTAGATTTATAAAAATTAATTTCAATGGAATCTAAAAATATTATTCCTTTATACAGTTGACCCCTGAACAACACCAATTTGAACTGCACAAATCTGCTGATACACGGATTTTCTTCCTCCTCTGCTACCTCTGAGACGGTGGTACTAACACTGTCTCTTCTTCCTCCTCCTGAGCCTACTTAACTTGGAGATGATGAGAATGAAGACCTTTGTGATGATTTAATTCCACTTATTGAATTGTAAATACATTTCCTCTTCCTTATGATTTTCTTAATAACATTTTCTCTTTTTTAGCTTACTTTATTGTAAGAATACAGTACATATATGATATACAAGATACGTGTTAATACATTTTCTATATCTTTAACAAAGCTTCTGGTCAACAGTATGCTATTAGTAGTTAAGTTTTTGGGAAGTCAAAATTTATACACACGTGTTCGTGCCAGAGTTGGCACCCATAACTCCCTCGTTGTTCAAGAGTCAACTGTAGTTCTAGTCCCTCTTTCTTTTTCCTGCTATTGTGCCATTTTATTATCATTATGAATATTGCATATGAGAAATGGTCCCCACTTATTTGTGGGTTTGTTTTTCATGGTTTCAGTTACTCGCATCTACTGTGGCCTGAAACAGTAAATGAAAAATTCTAGAAACAAACAATTCATAAATTTTACATTGCATTCAGTTCTGAGTAGCCTGATAGAATCTGCAGCATCCTTCTTCCTGAGTAGGACATGAAGCATTCCTTTTTCCACTGTATCTGTGTTGTCTGTGCTACCTGCTACAGCTACCAATCACTTAGTAGCTGTTTGGGTTATGAGACTGACTATTGTGATATTACAGTGCTTGTGTTCAAGTAACACTTATTTGACAATAATGAGTAGTGATGCTGGCATAGGTTATAATTGTTTTATTACTAGTTATTATTAATCTCTTACTATGTCTAATTTATAGGCTAAACTTTATTATAAGCATATACATATAGGAAAAAACATGGTGTATACAGGGTTCCATATTATCCACGGTTTCAGGCTTCCGCTAGGGGTTCTGGAGTATATCCTTCACGGAACGGGGGATACTGTAGATTAAAACCTCCCTAATACATGTTATAATTATTAGTTTAGATATTTTCATGACTACTAAAGAAGGTAAGGAGAGAGCATAGAGCAAGTGTATGTTTACAGAGTGTTATATTCTCTTTATTTGTTCCCCTGGATTCTAGTTACTATATGGTATCATTTTTTACTTCAAGCAAACTTAGCTTCCTTTCACTTTTTTAATAATGTTATTGTCAAATATATTAGATTTCTATTCGTTAGAGATTTAAAAACATGATATTATTTTATATAACTTTTAAATAGCAATTAGCAGTAAAGATAAAAAAAAATGCATTTATACTGTCTTCTGTAATCATGTAATTATCGTAACTGTTCTTTTTGTGTGTGTTCACATTACTATCTGGGGTCACTTGCTTTTGGCCTAAAGAAATTTCTTCGTGTTTCTGCATTTATTTTTTCTTAGAATTTCTTGTTTTTTTCCAGCAACAAATTCTTTCAGTTTTTAATCTGTGAATATTCATAGTTTGGCTTCATTGAGATAGTTTTGATAGATACAGAGTTGCCAGATGACAGTCCCTTTTCTTTCAGCACTTCAGATATTTCATTCCATTGCATTCCAGCCTTTATTGTTTTTGATGATAAGTCAGCTATTAATCTCATAAGAATTGCATTGTGACGAGTCATTTTTCTCTTGCTGCTTTGAAAATTTTATCTTTGCATTTAGCTTTCAACATCTTGACTATAGCAATTCTGGGTGTGGATCTCTTTATATTAGTTCTGCTTGGAGTTTGTTGAACTTTACTTTTTTTTTTTTGGAGACAGGATCTCACTTTGTCACCCAGGCTGGAGTGCAGTAGTACGATCATGACTTACTGCAGCCTTGACCTTCCAAACTCAAGTGATCCTCCCGCCTCAGGCTCCCTAGTAGCTGGGACTACAGGAATGTGCTANTTTTTTAATTTTTTGTAGAGTTGGAGGTCTCACTATGTTGCTCAGGCAGACCTCCAAATCCTAAACTCAAGTGATCCTCCCACCTCAGTCGATCAAAATGTTGAGATTACAGATGTGAGCCACTGTGCCTGCCCCTGAGCTTTTTAGATGTATAAAGGAATGTGCTAGTTCATGTATAAATTAATAATTTTTATCACATTTGGAAAATTGTTAGGTATTATTATTTAAAATGTATTTTATGCTTCTTTCTCACCTCTCCTCCTGGTACTCTCAAGTACATGTATATCAGTGCACTTACGATATCCCACATTGTTTTCTGCTTCTTTGTTCACTTTTTCTCATTCTTTTTTTCTCTTTCTGATTACACAATATCTGTGGATCTATCATCAAGTCTGCTATTTCTTCTATTTCAAATTTCCTGTTGAGTCTTTCTAGTGAATTTTCATTATATTTATTTCACTGTCACTTCAAAAGTTTCATTTGGTTCTTTCAAATAATTTTTATTTCCCTATTATTTATATTTGATAAGATATTGCCATAATTGCTTTACTTCTTTAAGCATAGATTTCTTTAGTTCTATAAAGATATCTGTAATAGCTATCTTTGGCTGTTAAATCAGACATCTTGCCCACTCACAGATAGTTTGTATTGCTTGCTTTTTTCCCTATTCGTGGGTTACATTATTTTCTGTGTTTTTTTTTGCATGTATTATATTTTTGCTGTTGTTAAAAAACTGGATATTTTATTATAGTAATGTATTTTAGCAACTTGAGTAATGAGTTTCTTCCTGCTCTCAAAGACTTAGATTTTGTCATCGTTGTTGATTGCTTGTTGATTAATTTGTCTATTTTCATAAAATCAGTTTTCCCTATAATGTGAAGCCTTTGGCATTGCCTATTAAGAGTGTAGCCTTGGGCATGCACACATTGGGATAACATTGGTTTTAGTGGAGCTTTTTTTGATTGCCTTATTTCCTGATCATTCTGTTAAGTCGTCTGCTTCATTTGGTAGTACACCAAGCTTTTGTCAAAATTATAAAGATTAAAAATGACAATAAGCAAAGGAAGGGTAAAAGTCATACATGGGGAGGGATATCAGGGGATGGGAAGATCAGGGAGGGATTAGCATTAGGAGAAATACCTAATGTAGATGACGGGTTGATGGATGCAACAAACCACCATGGCACGTGTATGTCTATGTAATCTGCATGTTCTGCATATGTACCCCAGAACTTAAGGCATAATAATAAAAAAATTAGAGAGCAGTGAATTAAAAAAAATTATCCAGCTTAATTGTCTACACTCTGCACAAGGGACATCCTCATCCTCTTTGGAGTGTCACAAAATTTTATCTCTTTCTTTTGCCACCTATGCCATTTTCATCAGTTTCTGTGGATGTGTAAATTGCTGATTAAATAAAAGATGCATAGATGAACAATAGCTTTTCTAGTTATGACTTAGAAAGTCTTGATATGTAAGTGCTCCTTAAGTGTAGCAGGCCAATGGCCAAACTGCTACTTGACTGAGAAATAACTGACATATTCACTTGTAAGCCTCATGTATGTATAGCACTCTGTCCCCCTAGTAAACATAATGGATTACATAAAACTTGTAGATGACATGAAATTTCATAATTGCATATAATTTTATAAATATAAAACTCATACTTTCTGAAAAATTAAAGGACAAAAATTGATAGAAGTCCCTTGGTTCAAAGTTATATTCCATCTAGCCTCTAACAACCTCCTTTTTACTTTGACTAAGAGGATTTGAACTGATTGGGGCTTTAGAGCTCAAAAACAAAAGATAATATGTGCTCTGAATGAGTCAATGAGTTTATGGCCTAGAGCATATATCACTGCTCCAAATTGGATTCTGCTTTGCACCTAAATTTAAAAATATATACTGTCTGATATTTGAAATACAAGCTGCATGCGTTTGTGGAATTCAGTCTGGTCTTGAGTCCCTGCCTCCATCAGCTGTTCTGGTCTGATTTATCTTGAATCAGGCATTAACAGAGAATGATTGCCATGCCTGTTCTCATTATTAATCCTTGCTGTGAGTATTTGGTATGAGGCTTTAGTTGGGTAAATCTGCTTCTACCTTGTTCCTTGTTTCTATGACCTAGTTGTTACATTGTAGTTCTCTTGTAGTAACCTGCTTAGTATGCAGGGAAATTTCTATTTTTGGACCCTGACCTACTGTTATCATTTTCACTCCTGAACTGAGTGTTCTGAGCCTGAGCTCTGACCATTAGATGAAACTCTGCCACCCCTGATAGCTACCTTTGATATTGACTGTATCTTCTGGAACTTCAGTGATTCTGCCATGTCCAGCTTCTACATTTGATCCTGAATTGCCTTTGGTCTTAGAGCCCCACTTGCTGGAGATTTGCATAGACTAGGATCAGAGATTAGATTTTGCTTCCCTGTCCTATTTAACCTCCTGTCAGAACTTGCAGCTGAGTCAGCACCTGGTACTTTTCCTGCCCTAGTGAGTAGGTCTGAGATCAGGTTAAAATTCTCTTTATGTTCAGGTCTGCTGTTGGAAATGATCAAATATGCTAGATTCTTAAGCTATGGGAAAGTTTATTTACTACGTGTTGATTTTTCAACTACATATGCTGTCAGACTTGCAAAAGATGGTGAAAAAAAGAACCTATTATTCTTACATACTTCTAAAAATACCAAAAGAGATGGTAGATTAAGCAAATTAAATACAAAAAATAAAATATTAAAAAATATTTTAGGCAGTCTGCTGAAGACTATAGATATATAGAATCTGAGAAAAACTCTTCTTACTTTTCAGGAAGATGCTGTTAGGTTCATTCCAGCAGAGATTATTTCCTACCAAGAGAATGATCTTGGAGAACAAGCTTGTTTGAGTTGGATATAAGTTGGCCATGAGATATGAAGGAAGATATTGGAAATCTTTTGAATATTTTGTGTGAGGGAGTGTATTAAATACAAATGTGCAACAAAGAAAGTCACCTAAATCAGTTTAGAAAGTAGCCAAGACCACTGTCTCTGGGAATCAGACTAATATATGAACCCATATAAAATGGCTTTGCCATTTGATTAGCAGTAAGATTGCGGACATTTTACTTCAACTTTTTAAGTCTCTTTTTCTGCATCTGTGAAAAGGGAATAGCAATTGTATCTCATAGAGCTGAAAAAAGGTCAGATGAGGAAGTAACCATTATACTCATAGCTATGCACTGCATGTGCCAGAAATTATATAACTTTACATTTAGAAAAATCATACTAGGATACTTAGTGCTGCTGGTTGGTGCTCTAGATTTATTACCTCCTTTCTCCATTTGGTGCTTGGCCTCAAGAGGCTGATGTTTGTGGGTTACATGAATGAATTCTGATGCCCTCTGGCTTCCAATTGTCTTGATACAAAGAGAGGATCTGGGAGGGAAATTGCCAGGTGGATCAGAGAAAAATCTGGGATATTTATTTTTCTGGATCTCTCTCTGACAAATTATTTCTCTACTTGATTACCCCTTTCAGTTTAGGAGTGATAAAGTCACTTCTCTTCACCTACTCTCTCTCTCTTTCAGTGTGTGTATGCATATTATATATATGTAATATGTATGTATATGTATATATATGCATACATACATAAATATATAGATATCTCTATATAGATATATAAGTATAGCTGTAGATAGATTTAAATATAATACATATGTATTTATATATATGTATATATAGAGAGGGAAAAAGAGCAGAGAGGGATTTATTTTTATTTTTTAGGAGTCTATTTTTAGTTTTATTTTAAGAAATTTGCTCACAGGATTTTTGGCACTGCCGTGTGCAAAATCTGTAAAGTATGTAGGCAGGCTGGAGACCCAGGGAAGGTTTGACCTTGCAGTCTTGAATTGGAAGGCAGGCAGTCTGTGTGGAGCAGAATTACTTCAGGTCCTCCAACACTTCCTATTGACAGGACTGGCTGAATAATTTGTGGGGCCGAGTGTAAATGAAAATGTGGGGGTTCTTGTTAAAAATTATTAAGAATTTCAAGATGAGGACTGTTGAGCATTAAGCCAAGTGGAGGGCATTTAAACACAAGAATCGTGCAGCTATAGCGATCAGAAGCTCATGAAGCTAGTTCTGCCTGTCAGTTTCCCTGAAACTTGCTGACACACATAAATATCTCCTTATTAAACATTTTTCATTTAACCTATATATGTGTATCATATGCTTACTGCCAGAATCCTGATGTGGACAATTATAATGAAACCAAATAAAAGGATTTGAGTGCAAAGCTCCATGACCCTAGAATTTTTTTCATTTAACCTATACTTTTGGTGAATTTCATTATCAGAAGAAGTCAGTAACACATTTTGAAAAACTAAAGTTTCTCATTGATGTAACCTGGGAAAAATTATGCAGAGAAGGAAGATTTATATCCACTGATGCCTAGGGTCACAATTATACTAAGTGAGCATGCATTTATTTTATACTTATATTTATTTACAATATATAAATGTTCTTTGATCTATCAAATATTTATATATATATAATTAGAATAGTTATTAATATTTGAAACAAAGTTTTCTCTATGAACAGTGACTGCTCATGATTATTGCTTCCTGTGAGTGTGATGCCTATGTGCAATTTTTACTTTTGGAAACCAGAATCCTGACAATGCCTGAGTCTTCAGTGTTGGTTGTCTTAGGTAATGAGGTGGTAAGGACACATGAGAACAGGTTTCATTTGCCCTGGTCTAAGCTGTGTAATCTAGTATCAGTGATATTTGTAAAGCAATTTTCTTTCAGATTTGTGACATCAAACAAAATGAGTGGGTCTACTAAGGAGCTGCTAAGGCTGCTGGGAAATGGCTCAGGTACATTATTCATGTCACTCAAGGAACAGATGGTAGGAATTCCCTTCTTAGACTCTCTGGGTTGAGGATGTTTTTAAGAAACATAGATGAGTCTACAAAGGCCTTATAGGTTACACTGAGGATTTTACATAACAATCAGGATACATGGCATCTGCAAAGGTTTTGTGCTGTAAGTGACATGATCCACATGATATTTTTACATGATCACATTGGTATATGTGTGGAAAGAAACAAAATTTTGCCCACACCAATGTCAAAAAGTGTTTCCCCTATGATTTCTTTTAGTAATTTCATAGTTTCCATTCTTACATTGAAATCTTTAATCCATTTTGAGTTGATTTTTTTGTATATGGTGAGATATATAGGTCTAGTTTTGTTCTTATGCATGGGATTATCCAGTTTTCCCAGCACCATTTATTGACTGTTCTTTCCCTAGTGGTGTTCTTAGAAACTTTGTTGAAAATAAATTGCCTTTATGTGTGTACATTTATTTCTAGGTTTTCTATTCTATTCCTTTGATCTATATGTCTGTATTTAAGCCACTACCATGTTGTTTTGGTTACCATAGCTTTGTAGCATGTTTTAAAGTCAGGTTTTATGATGAGGTTGTATGATGCCTCCAGCTTTGTTCTCATAACTCAAGATTGCTTTGGTTATTGGGGGGTCTTTGTGGTTCCATACAAATTTTAGGATTGTTTTCTTCTATTTTTGTGAAGTATGACAATGGTATTTTGATGGAGACTGCATTGAATCTGTAGATTAAGTAGCATGGACAAGTTAACAATATTCTTTTAATCCATGAATGCAGGATATATTTCCATTTATTTGCGTCTTTTAACATTTCTTTCAAAATGTCTAATACTTTTCAGTGTAGAGTTCTTTCACCTTTTTGGTTAAGTTTACTCCTAGGCCTTTTATTTTGTAGATATTGTCAATAGAATGGTGTCTTAATCTATTTTTCCAATAGTTCAATATTAGCATATAGCAACACTACTGATTTTCGTACACTGATTTTGTACCCTGCAACTTTACTGAATTTATCTGTTTTTTTGGTGAACTACATGGGTTCTTCTTATATATATAATATCATGTCATCTGCAAACAGGGACAATTTGACTTCTTCCTTTCCAATTTGAGTACCTTTTCTTTCTTTTGCCTAATTGCTCTGACTAGAACTTCTAGTATTCTGTTGAAAGTAAGTGGTAAAAGTGAGCATCTTGCCTTGTTCTAGGTTTTAGAGAAAAAGCTTTAAACTTTCCCCCATCTTTATGATGCTAGCTATTGGTTAGGTAGATCTAGATTTTATTGTGTTGAGAATTTACTTTCTATGCCTAATTTGTTGAGGGTTTTTATCATGAAGGGATGTTATATTTATGTCAAATGTTTTTTTCTGCATCAATTAAAATGATCATATATTTTTTTGTCCTTCATTTGGTTAATGTGATGAAACACATTTATTGATTTGGTATGTTAAACCATCCTTGCATCACTGGGATGAATCTCACTTGACTATGTTGAATCATCTTTTTAATATACTGTTGAATTCAATTTGTTAGTATTTTGCCAATTACTCTGATTTGATCATTACAGAATGTACATATGTATGGAAACATTACATTATCATGTACAAATTAAAAAAACTCAAAAAAGAAATAGATAATATTGAAGAATGAGTGATTCTGGTGTTTATACAATAGAGAAAATGCTGATTGCTTGCTGTGAAACAGCAAGAGTTAGAGAGAGAGAGAGTGAATTTACTATTGATCATTTTAAGCACTTCTCCATGGCTTGCCAATGCTGGATTAAAGTTGAGTCTGTCATTTGTCAAGGAGCTTTGTTTGGGTGAGTGGATGAATGCCACTTGCCCTAATCACTGTTGGGCGCAATTTGGTTCTCACTGCATTCTGGCAGGGTTCCAGAGGGAAGACTAAACACAAACTACTATTATTTCAAGTGTCTCATAAGAGGTCACATGTTTGAATTTTCAGTTTGTTTCCAAGATATAATATAAATTTTTGCAGTCCAAAAGCGTTTGTTTTCTTTTTTTCTTTAGTTTCTTGGGTATCACCTATGCACTCATTCTGCACAGTGGTAATTTTTATCTAAATAGTTTCTGTTACAGTATGTTTTACAGATAGAAATAAAGGCAAAAAGATCATGAAAATAGGTGGGTTCTTCTCAAAAGGGAAGAAAAACTCAAAGTTTCTGGCTGTCACTCATATTATTAAAACGACACACTAAGTTTCCAGGAACACATTCAGAACAGATTCAAGACTCAGTGGTCTGTATTAATTAAGGTATAAACTTTGACAAGCACCTTTAAGCACATTCTTTTTCCTGGACCTGGAAGACAGGCAAGAAGTAGAAAATTCACTTTAGGTTTGAAAAATGTGTTCTGACCTCTGGTACCTCGAGATGATAGTTAGCTTTTTAAAACTGAATTCATTTGTTTAATGGATTTCCAACAGTTATTTGGTTCTCATGATATATAGTACCCTAAAAAACAGCTTATGTACAAATTTTGGACCTCCATGTTGGGTGGATTTCTGCTGTGCCAAAGTGTGACACCGATTGGAGTGAATTGATAGCAATTCTCTCCTGCTGGGTACCTTTGAGATTGGAAGCATGTAATACACCATCTATCTTC